GGAATAACGGTCACAAGCTGGCAGAGGGTAGGTTTAGGTTGGACATCAGGAGGCGATATTTCACAGTCAGGGCGGCTAGGGTCTGGAACCAACTTCCAAGAGAGGTGGTGCAGGTTCCTACCCTGGGGGTTTTTAAGAGGAGGTTAGCTGAACGCCTTGCTGGGGTCGTTTGAGCCCAGTACTCTTTCCTGCCATGGCAGGGGGTCGGACTAGATGATCTGCTCAGGTCCCTTCCGACCCTAGAAACTATGAAACTATTTCCCCCCTTCCTCCAGCATCTGGTGGAAGGGAGCTTGTTCTGGTGCTCGCCCCACTCAGAGAGTGATTGGCAGTAGTGGCCACGGCTGGCAAACCCCAGGAGCAGAGGGGGGAATAAATCCCCGCTCTGCCTTGAGGGAAGGGGGGGGGGGCATGCTGGCCAGTGCCTGGCTGTGCCCCTGTCTGCTGCTGCAGCAGCAGCAAGGGGAAAGCATCAGGTGGACCCCAGCTCAGGTCTGTAGGACACAGAGGGGGGAATTAAACCCCCTCCCTGGCCAGTTTACTTCAGGCTACTGTCGGGGCTGGTCACATGCCCCCAGCACAGCTTTCCTGCAGCTGAGGGTGCATTGCAGAGGTCCTCCCCTGCTCCTGGCCTGAGCCACTGCAGGCATGTGCCTGCATTTTCTTCAGTGCAGAGGCAATGTCTGTCTGTTCATTTGCTTTTTGGTTCAGACTACGCAGGTTAGATTAACCTGCAAAGATTGAATCAATTCAGGCTCAGGGTTTTTGGATGTCTGTCCCTAGCCAATGAGGAGTTGGGCCCAGGTTTGCCTGTGACTAATTGATTACATCTCATCTGAGACTAATGGAGTGATTATCCAATGTTATTAATTTGTTGGGTGTGGGGGGAGGTGCAAGTAAGTGGGCAGGCCCTAATGCATGGAGCTGTGTGTTGGAGGTGGGAGAGAGAGATTGATGCAAGTACAATGCCTTGGAGTTTTGCTGCTTACTTTGGTCAGGGGAATAGCTTTGTTTTGTGCTTGAATAATAAATTGTGCCCTGAGGAACTAGGGATGATCTAGACCAGAGGCAGGCAATTATCTCAGGCAGAGGGCCGCTTACCCAGTTTTGGCAGGCTGTCAAGGGCCGCATGTGTAGTACTGCCCCTTGACAGGTGCCCTGCCCCCCTGGTCACCATCTTGAGACCGGTGTCCCAGGGCCAGCACCAGTGGGGCCCAAAGCAGGGCACAGGCTGGCAGAGGTCTGTGGAGCTGGGCTGGACTGCACCAGCAGGGTGGGGGGGAGCTGGTCCGGCTCCATAGAGCCCCTGCCGGCTGTGACCCTGTGCTCCTGCCACCCTGCTCTGGGCCCTGCTGGCACTGGCCCCGGGATACAGGTGTGGGCCCCGTGTTCCTGCTGGCTCCTGCATCCACTCGCACCCAGTGCCCCCCAACCCTGTGGTACAGGCAGGAGGCAGCGTACAGCCCCGACCCCTGCTTCCTGGCAGGTAAGAAGATGGTGCTGAGTGTGGGGAAAAGTGTCCCCTTGCCCACCCCATGGCCAGCACTCCCTGCTGCAGGTGCTCACAGCCCACGCGGGGCTGTCTGGAGCAGGCACAGGCAGCCCCACGTGGGCTGCAAGTGGCTACAGTGTGGGGCGCTGGCCATGGGGTGAGGGGCCGCTTTTCCCCACACTCAGCACCATCTTGTAACCCGGCCCTGCTGCCAGCCTAGGCTCCAAGCTTGCCTATCGACAACAGCAGCTGTGGCCCCCCTGCTTGCTGCACCGGGCAGTGTTGGCTGCTGCTGCCCATCCAGAGCTCGCCCACTGGGCAGCCCAGAGGTGACAGTGGCAAACACTGCCCGGTGAGGCAAGTGGAGGGGCCGCAGCTGCTATCGCCATATGCAGCCCCGACAGGCGAGGCTGGAGCCATTGCGGAGCACAGGCTGGCAGTGGGACTGGGTTATAGGGTGGTGCGGTGGGTGGGGAAAATGGCTCCTTGCCTGCCCTGTGCCTGGCGCCCCGTGCTGCAGCTGCTCGCAGCCCACCTGGGGCTGCCTGTGCCTGCTCCAGACAGCCGCCCACGCGCTGCGAGTGGCTGCAGCACGGGGTGCTGGCCACAGGGCAGGGGAGGAGCCACTTTCCTCCTTGCCAGGAAGGAGCCGGGGGAAAAGCAGCCCCTCCCCTGCCCCATGGCCGATGCTCCCTGTTGCAGCTGCTTGCAGCCCGCGGGGCAGTACCATGTGGGCTGCGAGTGACTGCAGTGCGAGGTGCTGGCCATAGGGCGGGCGAGGGGCTGCTTTCCCCCCTGCCTGTGCTCAGCTTTTCCCTGGGCCACATTTCCCTGGGCTCCTCCCCTGCCCGGGGTCCTCCCCTGCCCTGCCTTGCCCTTCCTTCCTTCCCCTTCCTCTTCCCCTTCCCCCTTACCTCCCACCTTCCCCTTTACCTGAGGTTCCAGCGCTGATGGGGCAACCACGTGCTTCCAGGCCAGAAGTCCCTACTGGGGCTTCGGGCTGTGGGGGCAGGGCCGGGCGGGCCCTGCTGTTGCGAGAGCCCATCGGGCTTCCCCTGGGTCCTACTGTCATTTTTGACAGGAACCAAGGGCAGATAAATATTTATTTTCTAAATTTTTTAGGGGCCTCGTAGGCTGGATAGAATGGCCTTGCAGGCTGGATTCAGCCCGCAGCCTGTATTTTGCCCACCCCTGATCTAGACTTTGGGCATGGCTTTAGCCCTTTGTGGGTTTGGGAAGAGAAACCAAAAATCTACAAAGGATTAAATGCACAGTTCATCATATAAATAAGGCCTTCAACAATATTAATAGATCAGAATGACATTTTGCTGAAAACTAGTGAGCAGTATGAGCACTGACTCTTTTTTTTTGCACCTGTGTTTATATGCCAGGTGAACTTACCTTGGATTTTATCATCATATAAATATTCAGACTTGACTCCTTATTTTGCTTGTTGGTTTTTATGCTTGCAAGTGATTGTGCCTGCAGAACTGGATGATCAGCTTTTTGTACCAGATGGGAGTTTCAAAAGAGCCTAGGTTGTGGTCTAAGTTTTAGATATGCTCAGCATCATTTAGTTTTCATTGGAATCAGCACTTTGAAAATCTTGAAGCAGAATTTAGTGGCTCTATTTCCCTGCCTGTCAAAGGGTGATGAAACTTTTCTGACTCCTAGGGATATTTCTAAACTATAGTAAGCTACCCAGCTAAAAGACTGGGTAGAAATAGAATATGATGTGTATTAGCTATTTAATGCTTTAAAACTGTTAACACTTTGCATTGTGAAAACAAATTGATAATGCTATCTCAGACAGCAAATATTTGAAAGGGAAAAAGCAAAGGGCTTCTACTTTTAATATATGTAGCTTGTTAAGTACTACTTATGTTGCCATGCAGGGGTATGTAGAAGAAACCACGGGCTTTAGCTAGAAAGACAGAGAAGATGCTGCTTTCATTATTGATACTGTAGCTGAGCTTTTTGAGGGGGAGGATTTATGACCGTATTAAAAAGCAAAGCATGAGTCACTAACTCAATGCTGCTTGCACTAAAATTCTAGTAATTATAAACAGTAAAGCCCTTTTTTGTAGTTTTATTAAATAATCTTTTTTTGGCTTGGGGTACACATACTTTTATAATACTCCAAAAAATAATCCCAGGTCCCTGAATATTATGTATGAAATAGGTTGAAGTTGGCTTTTTTAATATTGCCATTTTGGATTGCATCAAGCACACAGCCCTGCGTAAAAACCTGAGGAAAAGGAGGATGACTAACTAAATCTATTCTCTTTCTTTTGCAAACTGTTTAATTGATCCCTGTTTCCCATTTTGCTTCTCAAAACATATGTAACTGCTTTTTAAAGGTACAGCGTGAGTACATTTTTAGATTGTGTGTTTGTTGGACTGTAAGTGTTTTCTTCTTGTATAACATGATTTCATAATCATTGGATGAGTTTTGGCATGAACAAAGTGTTATAGGCAGATACAAAACTGTTCTTTCAATTCCATCGCGTAACACTTCCACTATTTGGAATTAACTCATGAGCAGAAAAATCAATATTAGGATTCCTGGACTTTACTCCTGGTAATTTGGACGATTATTTCTCTGAGCTTGAGTGAACTTACACGTTTCTAAACTGCCTCAGTTTTCCCATCTGTAAAATACAGACTCCTTTTTCCCACACAATGACTTTAGGAGGATTGCTTCATCAAAAATATTTAAAGAGCTTCGAGACCCTTTGAATGATATAACAGAAATTGATATTTTGCACTTATATTACTCAGGCACACTCTCAGGTCTCATTTTATATCTGTAGCACCACAAATAAATATTCTGTGGTCCTTCTGTCCACTCATGGCACTCAGGAAGTCCATATGCACTGAAGTTAGACTGTATCTTCCCAGATGGGCTGGGCAAGGGCTGCCCCCCCTGTGAGTCCCTGCTGCTGAACTGAGCCACGCCTGCACATGGCCAGCTGTAGTGGGATTTGAGGCACAGTGGCAGCTGTCTCTGCCCT